ATCTTGGTACTTAATAATGGGCCTTCTACTACCACTAAACTTTATTTTTGAAAGTCATGATGAGTTCATAAATCTTTTCTATATCATGGTGCATCTTCTGACAAAGTGGAGTCTGGGCAATGTTATATGTAACTGTCCATTCTAAATGCTTTCTTTGCATCATTAACCACTTGGTATGACACTGGCCAGATAATTAAGACAGGTTTGTTTAATATTCCAAATGAAGGTCTATATGCTTACCCATTAATCAAAAGTACACTTCAAAACCTGGCCGCTAAAAAAACCCCCTTCTACAGCCAGTTTACAATTTAATTATTACTACATATCTGTTCATGATCTGTGACTTTTTTTTAATGAAGGTCAACTGTTTAAAATTTATAAAGATTTATGCTCATTTAATTACTGCCTGTATAAAATTCACTCCTACAACTGTTATCTTGATAGATAGAGAAAAACCCTGATGAGCAATTACATTGTGATAGCTTTTCAGCAAAAAAGAAAGTATTTTTACAAAGAAATTGAAGAAATAATGAGAGTTAACTTCAACAGGCATCTGAAAGTGGAAAAAATTAATTCTCTACATTTGCTTTTTATTAATGTCTTTCAGGCACAATGGCCCAAAAACCAAGTGAAAGAAACTATTATTTTTCCTTCTCTTGAGGGTGGCTGTATTGCTCATTCAGTCATTCCATAAATATATATTGAGCATCTACTATGCTCTAGGTACAGTGCTAATTACAGAGATGCCGTAATAAAAAAAAAAAAAATCCTGGTCCCTCTCCTCAGAAAGGAGAGACGATATTGAACAAACATTCACATAATTAATTACACTTATGATGAGTGATTTCTTAGAAGGGAACAGGGAGCTATGGAGCCGGAGGCCCAGGATCCAGCAGCATCTCAGTGCTGGGATCAGACCGACCCGACTGTGAGTCCAGGTTTTAGCATGTACTGGCTGGGTGACCACTGGCAACTTACTTCATGTCTCTGGGCTTCACGTCCCCTTCAAAGCTCTTCAGGGATAACAGCCACACCATAAGGCTGCTGTAAAGAGGTCATGATACAACAAACTGTGCCCGATCTGAACCACAGCGGGCATTAGCTCCTTCCTCTTTCTTACATTAACCTCTCTCTGAAGCTGTCTACAAGAATATGATTAGCTAAAGACAGAACCAGGTTCCGTATCTCCAAGTCCTTTTACTCTTTTCCTTGCTTATTTGCTAAAGTTCATTATGTCCTTTAGAGGAAATAATCAATAAATGTTTACAGACACATCCTGTATTACAGGCCCCGGAGTCCTAGACTCCATTCCCTGCACCATTTCCAAGCTCCAAAATTCTGGTGGCAATGGTGCCTGCTAAGAGATTTTTGTGGGCAAATATACACTCCACAAACGAAAAGCACTGGTCTTCACAACCAAGAATGTCAGCAAAAACCTAGAAAACACAAGCTCTAAGGAGTGATGCTCCCTAGTTCTCAGCCAAAACTCAGATCTCAGGAATTCTAGGAAAGCGGAGGAAAGAAAGGAAAGAATCCTCAAAAGTAGCATCTCTGTTGCACCAGGCATTGAACTTGAAATGTCACAGTTAATACTTCATTTGTTCCTCCCATATTTCTTTATTAGATAAGGAATCCGATGCTCAGAGAATAGAAGCAAGTAGCCCAAGGTCCCAGAGGGATGGAGCCTAGTGTCTGGCTGTCTCCAAAACTCATGTTCTTTCCACTACGGCATAGTATATCGTATTAACAACCCCACGGTTATTGCTTGTTTCAATTTGCAATGCAGCAATTTAGCCATTTTAAATTAATCCTTGAAAAATCACCAAGAGATTAAAATGCAAATTTCAACATGGCTAGAACTCAATAGTGACTCCATGTCAAAAATCACACAAATTGGTCCTATAAAAGTTCAGATTCTCCTTAGAGAAAAAGCTTGCCTGCTTCATTTCACATTTGAGCTACGAAAAGTCATTTCTTTTCCTTTTTCCTTATGAATATCGAAAGTCAACTGTAGGGACTCAGGGTGGGTGGGTATAATGGAAACAAAATGCTTTGGTTCCTTACAAACCTGGGGACTACATCTCACTTAGGAGCAGGCCTTGGACCAGTAACCTCAGGTCTGTGAGCCTTCCTGGGTCCCTTTACAGACAAGGGGGCTCAAGTCTACCTGTCAGAGAGAAGCTGGGAGGATTTAAATGGAGCCATGTATGTTAGAAGTCTGGCAGATTGTTTTATCATTCCTGCTTAGAAACAAACAAGGCCAGCCTTTTACCAGTCAGCAAAGGAGGATTCAGTAGGCAACGGGTCATACACAGGGAACTAGTTCATCAGTGGCAAAATCCGCTAAGAGGATGCAAATTTTTTTAAATGGTGGAGGCAGAGGAGGTAGCATACAGTACAGACAGGAATTAGAAGTGGGGCTATGAAAGAAAACAGGTTTTTTTCCTTCTAGACTGTTTCTAGTCTCAGTAATTGTGGTTTTGAAAATTAGGAAGTTATCAGAATTTTCAGGTACTTAAATTTTCTTGGTCCTTAAAATAATAAAAGAAAAACTTAACCTAGGCAATAATGTTTACTATAACATTATTTATAACAAAAAAACATTAGAAACAATCTAAATGTCCATTAGTAGTAGTTCACACACTGTGGGCATTTCAGTAAAATATGGTAAATATCTGTCTTTTCTCTTTCCTGATACCAAGTACCACCTGTCCAATGACAAGTCATAGTAAAAGACTTTTTAAAGACATAAACTCCCCGCAAACTGGAGAAAAGACAGTAATGGAAGAAAGAGGTCCAGTTTTTGCAAGCCAGAAAGCAGATCTTACTAAAGAAATGGTTCTCAACTTGGGTCATTTGCCATGAGAGGACATTTGGCAAAGTCGAGAGACATTTTTGGTTGTCACTGCTGAGGGGGTAGGGTATGCTCTCAGCATATAGTGGGTAAAGCCCAGAGAGGCTGCTAAACATCCCACGATGTGCCAGGACAGTCTCACACAACAAAACATTATCTGGCCCAAGCTGTTAAGAGTGCCCACTGAGATTGAAAAACTAAAGAAGACTGACTTGGTGGCCCCGAAAAGGTTGAGCAGTAAGGTTGGGGCTAGGGAGTAGGGCAGCAAGCATCAAGGCCAACTCACAATAAGGAACCCCAAAAAGGTTCAGTAATTGTGAAGCCTAGGGGAAGGGTGCCAATAAAATTAAGAGTAATCTGATCCCAACATTCTTTCCCCGCTCACTCAGCTAGTCAACTGGTCTTCCAGTACCCCTCTGGGAGAATAAATACTTTCTAGGGAGACTAAACCAGAAAGACTTGGGGGACACCAGGTATAGCTGAAAACAGGGCATAAAATATCAAAGAAAAATGCCAGGGGTGCTAAATAAAATCATACATGCTAAATGTTGATTACCATGACCCACTGTCCCCACTCAGCCTCCAGAACACTGGTATTAAGTTCACACTCCCCAGCAAGAGAACACTGAGTAATCTCCCTGCAAAAAAGATTCTGATATTGATATTAAGAACCTCCCACCCCAAGAACCCCAAGTAGCCAGGCCCTGATCCATTATCTACAATAACAAAACTGCACTCATTAAACTTGATTACCTTGACATTTATAATTTGTCTGCTCTATAGACAACTTAAAAGAATTTCCTGTCTAGGACTGTATAGTACAATAGTTATGGAGGAATATACCACTTTTTCCAGTATTTTAAAAAAGTAATTAAGTATACACCCCAAAGAATTGAAAGCAGGGACTTAAACAGATGTGTGTTCACCAATGTTCATAGTGGCATTATTCAGAATAGCCAAAAGGTAGATACAACCAAAGTGTCCAGTGATGGATAGGCAAACTGTAGTATGTTATATACATACAATGGAATATTATTAAACCTTATAAAATAAGGAAATTCTGACTCAAGCTACAACATGGACAAACCACAAAGGCGTTGTGCAAGGTAAGATAAGCTAGACACAAAAGGACAAATACTATATGATTCGACTTAGATGAGAGGCCTAGAGTAGTCAAATTCACAGAGACAGGAAAAAATAGTAGTTGCCAGGGCTGGGGACGAGGTGGGGAGTGCAGTTGTTTAATGGATTGTTTAATGCATACAGTGTTCCATGAACAGCTGGGATACATGGAAAGGGGACGGAAATGGATACTGGTAATGGTTGCATGACAATGTGAATGTATTTACATCAATGAAATAGACACTTAAGGATGGTTAAAATGGTAAATTTTATGTTCTGTATATTTTGCCACAATTAAAGAAAAGTAACCAAGTTCCTAAGTGGTGGTGACTGTATATTTAATTCTACATAGTATTATTTATAATCTGAGTAAAACATTTTGAAAACATGTCTTAAGGCTAGGCCTGGTATGCCATCCAGCTTGTCAGAGTGCAAACATTAACCTCTGCTCCATCAGACCCAAGTTCCCAATTCCTAAGTCTTTAAGAAGTTGGAGTGGGGATCCTCACTCTTATACCCACAAATACTTTATTTTTTTCTCTTATATGAATATATTTAGAAATGCAGTAGAAATATAATTCTACTTAAGTAAACCTACCCTAATAAAGAAATCTTTATATGAAAACATTTTATTTACAATAGCAAAAACTAAAAACCACCTAAATGCACACCAGTGAGGAAATAGCAAAAACTATATAGCAAATGGAATATTATGCAGTCAACAAAAATGATTCTTAGGAATGAAATTTAAAAATGTTTATTAGCAGGTGATTTTTAACAATGTAAAAGACATTCTAAAAAGACTAGAATAAGACATCAACATGTTATTAGGTGATTAACTTTAAGAATATGAATAATCATCCCTCTTTGTCTTTATACTTTCAATACTTTTCAAACATTCTCTACCCATTTTTGCCATTCAAATGCATTATTTTATAATGGGAAAAATATATCCTTTTATTTTCTTTTTAAAATAAGTTTTAAAAAGAATAAAAATTTAATTTTTTTTCTCCCAAGTACTCACATTCTCAGGTATGCTGGGAAGTTCTCTGGTATCAGGCACAGTAAAATAAGAATGCTGGGAAAGAAAAGCAAAAGCTTTTTTTTATTTTTGCCAAAATATGCAATAAACACATTATTCAGAAATCAGGTAAATGATCTTAAGATAATTCCTTACTCAGATGAGGAAACAGAGTTTCACTCATTGGAAATGTCTATGGAATCTTTTCTTTGGATAATGCTGGATGAAAGCCAGATGCACTGAATTATTAGTTTGATAGAAGGAGTTCTTTTCTATGAGAGATGAACTACTTTGGGATATATAAACAAACAGTTCAAAGAAGTTAAAGGCTAAACTCACATACAATGTTGGCAGGTTTGTGAACACATGAGAGCTGCAGGCTTCATGATTTACTGTTCCATAAGACAAATGGCTCTAGGGACCAAGTATCACTAGGTTCACTCAGCAATGGTCTTTAGTGACCAAACCATTTCACTTTAGCTTCTGAGATTATATCCCTCTATAGGCTGCAGGCAAAATCTGCCCCGAAGGCCGAAGGGATGTTAAGGACAGCTCCAGCTGAAGCACAGCTGCACTGGGACCAGCACAGGCGGTAACAGTGGAGAATCTCTCTGCAGTGTGCATCCTCTGCAAATACACCTCCTGACTTCTAGTGCAATCTCCAGCTCAGTGGAGTTGAAAACATGCCTGTTCAAACAACTTTCAAGGGGGCACTGCCACGTATGTAACAAGTATGTGTCCCTGAGTTAAACGACAACAGGCTGAAATGATGATACCTCCTCTGTGCTACTGAAGACTCAGAGGACAATGGCAAGCAGGAATGGAAAGAGTGTGGTGCTGGTCAATTAAAGATGGGATTGTGCAAAGGTCAGGAAAGGTCACATTCAGAGAAGGTCGGCTTAGCCATGGCCTAAGTTCAGACCTGGACCCCCAAGTGACATTTTGGCAAGTTCCCCGGCCCCACCATTCTTAGATAATTGCAAAATAGTTGGTCTCTAGAAAAATGAGTTGTATAGCTTTCCCAAAATGAAAGACACGTGGAAAACTGCAATAATGACAATGACAATACTACTATGAGCTGTTTGTAAAGATCTGTAATATTCAACAGATCTATATTTAATACCTGTTACATTGAAAGTTTCATGCCAAGTACTTTATAAATACCATCTCTAATTTCCTTAACAATTCTAAGGTAGACATTATCTTCATATTACAAAAAGGTAAATTAAGGCTTGGAGAGGTGAAGTAGTCACACAGCTTGTAGTTCACAGAACCAGTGTGGAAACCAGGCCTAGATAATTAGAGCGAGGCTCTTTCCTCTAAAATAGGCTGTTCTTTCGATGTGTAAATTATAGCTAAAGCCACTTGAATTAAGATAGTGAACTAAAAAGTAAAATATATATATATATAAAAGGAGGGTTTTAAAAACCCTCTGCAATGGATTACTCCAAAATTTCTGTATCTGTGCCAAAATATTACCCAAGAAGTATTACAATTGAGATTATGTAGCATGGAAACTAGTCAACAATTCAATTTAACAATAAGAATTAAAATAGTAAAAGTAAAACACAAGGTTAAATTTAACACCAAGCACACCAACTTCTATTCCCAATGGCTAGAAGGTAGTCCCAGGAAATGTTTAGTAATAGATGTCCACATGGGGATGGAGTCCACAAACTAATGGTTGGCACAGTGAGGAGGAAAGAACAGGGATCATACAGCCAGCCACTTAACTGCTATGTGATTTTAAGCAACTTCAATTAATAGCTCCAAATCTCAGTTTTGAATCATAATATCTACTTCAGAACTGTTGTGAAGAATAAATGTTATATATGTGAAGTGCCTAGCATTTCATAAATGGTATTTTAATAGAAAATTATTATTGCTCTCAACTGCTAGTTTACATTTCTATTTTTCTCAATCACCTGCATCAGCAACAAAGAAATATTCTCCTGTGACTAAGGCCAAAAAAAGTCCACGATTGCCATTTATCATTTCAGACTTTCTAAGCTAGATGAGATTAGTGCTTCAAAATCAGAAATGCCACATGGAGAAAGGAATTCCTTGTGAACAGGAAAGAAAAAAAAAAAATCTGCCTTTACAGATGTAATGGATTGTAACTAGTGAGCCAATGCAATTCCAAAACCCAAGTAGTCACCAAGCTGTCCTTTGAGATTCTGTCTTGCTCCATCGCCCATGAAATGCTGGGACAAGAGGAGGTCAGAAACATTCATAGAAACCACTGGTACGAAACAACTGCACCCTCCCAACAGCCTCTCCTGCCCCTGTGATGGTTTGTCCTTGAGGCCTGGCAGCCACTCAGGAGAAGGAGTGTCCCTTCCTCCCCAGCAGCTGGTGACCCAGCCAGGCTACTCCACAGCTAGCTGTCGAATGTCATTACAGACTGAAGTGGTGAGATCAAGCTGCTTAGGAAAAGGGACAGAGGCAAAGGCAAGGTTGCTTAGCTGGACGGTGATGACTGGGGTGGATTTAAAGTTCACTTCTTCATCTTACAGACAGTCTTCCTTACGTAAATTTCTGTAACCAGGTTCCTTTCCTTCCTACATTCTATTAAAATGAGCAAAAACCTCTAGAAATTCCTTTTCTCCTTCTTGCTTTCTTCCCTTTCTTTCAACACTCACAGCCTAGTGGAAAGAACATAGGCTTAGAATTTAGCCCTGGGTGTGAAAACCCCAATCTTCTCACAATTAACCACAGAACCTTAGATGGACAAGTACAATTCCTTTTCCTCTCTAAGTCCCCTCTATGAAATGAAAATGCTAACACCTATTTGTAGTTTTGAACATTAGAGAGGCACACCTGGCATAAATTAGGAACTTAGTAAATAGATCTATTATTAGTTATTGCTAGTAATATTGCCTTCAATTTGATCATCACACACACAAAAAAAAGCCCTATAAAACATGTTCATTTTCTTTAAAAAAAAAAAAAGGTATCAAGATAATTACCACTGACTACCAATACTGTATGTGGTTCTAATGAAGCTGGAAGACACAACTTTTTAAACATTCAGACCCTACAACATAGGGGAAATAGCCCCTGTATAATCAACAGCTGGCCAAAGGATGTCCCTTTGAGAATACTGATGAAGGTAGTGGCCGGGTATGACCCAGGGAATCAGAGGATTCCGGTAACTGAAATGTGGAAGCACATGTATCATTCCAATTATGGGTAAAACTACAACTAAGACTCAAACCTCACAATTTGTAGCTCAGAGGATTTTCCACCCTAGCACACTACAGAAGGTGTAATGAATACATAAAAGTTCAAAGAAAGCTACTGCTGTAGGCTGGCCAGGAATTATGTTAGGTACTCTCCATCCCTGTCCTTGAGGGGCCTACAGTCCAGTGGGGGAGACAGGAAAACAGGTTGTTCCAATGTGATGTGACTGATGTGGCTAAGTGTACAAGATGCTTGGGACAAAGAAGAAAACCTTAGCTAGCCTTGGGGAGTGTCAGGGAAGGATTTCTCGGAATCAAATCCAACATGAATTCTGAAGGATGAACTTGGAGTGCCCTGGTAATCAGGGGGAGAGCTGGTGTTGAAGTGTCAGGGGGCAGCAACGTGGGCTTCAGCAAACAGGCATGCACAGGAATGTGGGGGGTGGGGGGTGGGCAAGGTGTGAGGCAGGGAGCACCAGGACAGGAGATGGTAGTGATGGGACGGCAGCCAGGAAGAGGGGAGCCTGGGGACATTTGGGAGCCATTGCTTACGGAATCCCAGAGAGAGGAAGAAATACGACTCCCTGGCCCCCTTTGAGCCCAGAGGTCTCAGAGTACTTGGGGGACGGAGTGGGGAAGGTGCGGACCGCAAAAGATGATCCTGTTCAGCTAACTCCTCCTTACTGTTAATAGGGAAATGGTTTTTCACTGATCGCTAATATTCTGCCCCCCACTTACCACACTGAGATGAACAGACACTCCTGGGTCAGGGATGGGAAGTCTGTGCAGAGTTTCAAGAAGCTCATTCCACTGACTCTCCTGAAAGAAATAAAAGGCCTCAGTAACAGAATCAAGGCTGAGCCCTCAGTCAGAGACCTGCAGGAGGTCGGGGCACACAGTAAGCTGGGGGCCCTCATGACTGAGGGGCAGGGGAGGTGCTGGTCCCAGACAGAAACACGCTGTTGTTTAAGTAGGACTGGACAAAAGACACCGCTTAGGGCTCCATGTAAAAGCCAAGTAGATCTTCCCACACCAAGTTTGACATTTTCTACTCAGTAAGACACCTACTATGACCACCTTTTATGGATCATATACCATAAGCACTGAGCAAATCTATCCTCTTAACTCCACAGCACCAACTTTTAAATGCAAACCATCCTGGCTTACAGGGCGAGGGCAGCAGGGAGCAATAACAGTGACACTACAGATCTTGTCTTCATCATCATTACCCTCAATTAATTTTACTGAGTGTTCACTGGATACACACGGCAGCCTCCAATTATGGAAAGTTGAAAACGAACTGCGTACAGCAGCATGCAATATAGGATGGTGGCTGTACGTTTTAATTAGTGAAATGAATTACAAAGCAGAACAAATTATTCAACTGAAAACAGATTCACCTTTAAGATGCTCAAAAGAACACTGCTTACAGAACTATCCAAGAGCCATTTCTCCCATCATGTGGAATTCTCTGTAACAGTAGTAATAAGCTCACGTTTGTATCCTCTTTTTAAAAAGTCTATATGATCCTCACCACCACTCCACTTTACAGACAGAAAATTGAGGCTCTGAAGGGTGAAAGCAACTTGGCTCCAATCAGCCCGTTAGTAAGTTGCTCAGCCAGGAGCAGAACCCTCTCCACTGCTCGGCAGTCAGTTTTGGTAGTAAATTTAAAGGAAAGGAAAAGAGAGGATGAGCTCAAATTAAATGTCTGTTTCAATCTGAACTGATAAACTGCTCAAGTTTCTCACAGAGGAGAGAAATATATGTGTGCATGTACCAACATGTTTAATTTTTCTCTGAAACAATTTCAAACTTGAAGAATTGTAGGACAGTACAAATTTTTTTAAAATTTTCTGAACTATTTGAGAGTGAGTTGCTAACATTCTGCCCCATTGTCCAGAAATACAAAGGATACTCCGCTATATAACCACAACTAATCATTAAATCAGGAAATTAACACTGACATGACATTGCCATCTTATCCTCAGAGCCCATCAAGTTTTGTTGGCTGTGCCAATCATAGCAAAATAATCCCGTTCAGAATCACAAATCGACTTCAGTTAAGACTCTGTAGTGCTTAATAGCCTAGAACAGTTCTTATCTTTCCTAGATTTGTATGAACTTGACAATGAGACTGGTCATTTTAGAGAATAACCCTCAACTGTCTGTTTTCTATTGATTCAAATTTCAATTCATCCCATTACTGATGATCACTTTGATCATCTGAATAATTTACTGATTGTCTCTGTGAGGTACTCATTTTCCCTTTGTGTTTAAGCATTTTGTGTAGCAATGCTTTATATAAATATCCCATTCCTCATACAACTTTTAACTTATCTGCTTATTTATTTATATTATTATAGACACATGGTTTCCTGTTTTATTCGATGGGTTATAACCTTTGCTATCTTATTTGTTTTGATGCTCAAATTTTCCCAGATATGACCAGTGGGAATCCCTTGCCTGCGTGAGCTCATGTTTGTGTCTTTCTGACATGTCCCCATCATGTTTTGAGCACTTCCTTACTTTTGGCACTAAAAGATATTCTAGGCTCATCTTATCTTTTCCCTGCCCCACCCCTGAAATCAGACATTTCTTCAGGGAGTCCTGGCTCCTTTTGGTGGAAAATGTTATGTAGAAACCAAGAAACCCAGGTGTGTTCCTTTCTACTTGAATACTGCTGATCCCAGACCCTTTCAGTGGATAGAGCCAGGGAATATACTACGTAACAAGAGAGACCCACAATACACACTTACATCTCTATTTATTTCCATACCTGTCTTGTATATTGAAAGCCATGGGTTCATACCAATGGCTCTAATTCCAACTGGCCATAGGAATCATTCTAGTTTCCTCCCTTTACATACTTGTAACTATATTATACAAAAATGGAAAAAAAACTTCCACCTACTTTTCTTAATATACTCACTGATTTGTATGTAACCAATCTTTTATCAATACATTTACCTCCCTATCTGCCTAGATGCTCTCCTTGCCCTGCTCAAATACTGACATCCAGTGCTAGGCCACCACTGTCCACCCACCTCCAACACACACGCCACGCCCACCCCAGTCCCCAGCAGCCCAGTGGTGGGCCACTGCTGCTGCCCTTTCCCACGTGGATCCTTCTAGATCCCACTGGAGTGCCAGCATCCAGTGCCTAGCTGCTGGCCCACATAAACACCGCTCACCCCTTGGGCTCTGGCGCACTCGGCCAGGCTGTGAGTCAATGACCCAGACAAACACCCTCACCAGGTCGCTTAGGCTCTGATGCTCCATGCGAGCTGCCATGGTCACAGACACATACACCCATCCATTTGAAGCCCACCATGCCCGACTTCGCAAAGACTTTTGGACTTGGGGAGAAGATTCTGTGTTTTTAATAACAGCTATTTCGTCCTGTTCAAATCTGATGACTGACATCTTGCAAAAAATTTACCTAGTTGTAGGTGGGCTCCCTATCACCTGTGTCATAATTCCTTTAACCAGAAGAAATTTAATAAAAATAGGCTGGGTCCAGGAGAAACAGACTCCACTAAAACACATCACTGATCTCAGGCCATAGCCCAGAAGGCTGATGCACTGATTTCACAGGGTAGTAATCCTGTCTCCCCTATCCATAGGTTGTACCTACGCAACCATTCCTGTATCACAAGATGTGTTTTTTTAATGTCTATTAAGTTTGTTTGTTTGTTTTTAACTGACTTGGGCATTAATATGGAATAAAAAATATGAGTCAATCTCTAATTCTCAGACTATTAAGAGCCTACATGTTGTATAATTCTATTTACTAAAGACATCTTTCAAATCTGAGTGAAAACCTGAATGTTTGATTAAAGTGAACTGTGAATCAGAAATCAAGGAACAGACCCACGGTGGCCTCCTGACTCATTCATCAAAGAGTAAATCACTTCTTTGATGACAGAATTACCTGGTACCTAAGCGTCCTTTCAGAGAGAGCATAAGGATCCGGGGAGCTGTTTCTATTACTTATCCCTTCTCTTTACTGTGGACTCTGGAATACATTTGCTGGTGACTAAATCTAACTTGAAGGAAAGATGTCACCATTATATACATCATTTCCACCTTTTCTCCCAAACAGCATTTCCCAGGAAACACCTGATATCCCAAAATGCTACTTTCTGTCATGGAATAAAAAGGGTTTGGGGCCAAATGAGATGGGAAGCCCTGAGTAACACAGACCCCTCCCCTGCAGGACTCCTCAGAGCCTACGTTACTTCAGTCTTAGGGAGACAAAAATGACCCACAGCTTTTCCTCTCCCTGACCCCAATGTTACTGAACTCTTTTTATGGGACATTTTTCAGAACTAAAGTTCTATTGAAAAATATGAGGGGAAATAGTTCTCCAACATTTAACAATAATTTATCACTTTAATTTAAAAACTTAAGTCATTTATGAAAAGGAAAATATAAGAAGTTAGACATAAGGAAAAATATTCAACTCACTAAAAAAATCAAAAAAATACAAGTAAAACGATGAGACTTGTTCACTTGTCACATAAACAATAGATTCACTGAATACTACTACTGAAGAGTATGGTGGCTCAGGCACTCACACATTGCTACTAAAGGTTATCTTTTAAGAAAGCAGTACGATTCTTTTGGAAAGCAGTTTGGCAAATGTTCTAAAAATGATTATATCCACTGACCTGACAGAGGCCCATCTGAGACTCTACTCTTAAGGAAACAATCCAAAATGAAGAAAACGCTTTATGCCCAAACATACTAGTGGCTCTACAATAATGAAAAAAATCCCAAATAAAACTTCCCAACAATGGGGAAATGTTTCAGTAAATTGAGGTTCATGATATAATGCTACGCAGTCATGAAAAACGTTTACAACAATTTTCCCAGTGCTGGGAAATGCTTCAGCTATTATGGTACCTGGTGAAAAATGTGGGCTTCAAAAGTCAGAATACAGCTCCAACTGACCCTTGATATTCATGGAAGACACTTTAGTATACCATTTCTTCCAAAGCACAGTAAGGTGTAGCTAAGCTTTTTAACTAATTTTCAGACCCTTAAAAAAAAAAACCAAAACCCACTGTAAAAGCACAACAAAGCCATGTTGAAATGGGAACTTGGGACAGCTGGCTAGGTCACTTGCAAGTTAAGTGTTTTAACTCACAAATCCCAGCTTTGCAGCACGACATAATAATTCAAATTTGTGCCTCAGCAAAATTACAATTTAATACATGTCATGAACTTTCAGTGTTGCTTGGGGCTATTAGATGTTATGACTATTAGCTCTGTGAATGATAAGGATCTATTTATTATATATATAATTCAAAAAGTAAAGGAAGAAAACATCCCAGATGCTAGCGACATTTATGGGGGTGAGGGAGCAGGGGACATGTAGGAGTGATTTTTCTCTTCCTTCCTACTATTTTCTGAATTTCTAAAACTTTCTATAATGAGCATGCATTGCATTTTTGGTAAACATTTTGGTGAAATATACGGCACGTATTACTTTTATAATCATAAACAGTAAATTAAAGTTTACTCATTAAAAAGAATAGAAGACAAATACCTGTCCTTTTGTTGTGTAATCTGCCAAGATGTTAAGTAGTTTATAAAATACTTCAAACCACGGGAGATAGCTGGGGAAGAGAAAACACATGAAATATTAGTATGCAGGTCAAAAACTTTAACCAGAAGCAAATTTAAGACTGGTATGTTTCAGTTTTTCTCTACATCCTACAGAGTCTTCCTGTCATAGTCTGTGCTGGAAACACAGACTGGTGAAAATGCTAATTATTTCTGGGATTTAAAAAAATTGCCTGTATAAGACAGAGGACTGAATGTTCATTATAAATTATTCCCATGCCTCAGAGCTAGAACAGGTTCATAGAGAAGACATTCAAAGCAGACTCTGCAATCAGGAACTGTCTCTGAGTAGCCCCCAGGCCTCTCCCACCACATCCACCTTTTCCAGGAAAGCTTCTATTCAAGTTTCTCATGATTAGACACACATACACACAGCCACACGCACACACAGCGCTTCCTCTGCTGGCAGCTGCAAGGTGTCCCAAAGGCCCCATTCATCCTGCTACATCAAACATTCCACCTATAACACACCTTCTCCATACTTACTGTGGGATGAGCACTAACTCCCCGTCCCCGCTGCCCTGCACTGGGTCCTCACTAGCACGCCCCGCAACTCTGACAGGAGCATGGACCTGGCTGTAGTCCATCCTCTGTGTTGCTCTTAGAGTGGTCTTTTTAAAATGCAAATCTAAGTGGCACACTGGACTGAGTTCCTGCAACGCGTCCCATCGCTGCAGGACTTCTTCGGATGGTACTCGGGGCTCCCCACTGTCCGTCCCCTGACTGCCTCTCCGGCTGCCTCTTCCCTATTTCCCCACATACGTCCTCCTCTCATCGCAGCCCCACTCTGAGCATGTGCGGGCGACCTCAGGCCTGCCTGAGCTTGTCTGCGCTCGGCCCTTTCCTCCCTCTGAACTGTCTAGTCTAGCTGATTTCTGTTCATCCTCCCAGCGGCACCCCAGCCCCCGCCGCCTCCATGCCCCGGTTCCCCGCTTTCCATACGGCCCTGGGCACGTGCATACTCCTGTTACAACATTCCACACACCATGTGGCACTCAATGGTGTGTCTGTCTTCCCAACAGACGGTGCAGACAGAGAGGAAGGATCACGTCTTTCTTCACCTTGTTGTCCCAGGGCCAAGCACGAAGCCCGGCATACCACCAGTGCTGAGTGTGGACTCAACAAACAAAACCAAACGAGGGCTAACAGCAAAGGCACATTAGTGCTACAAAACTGTTGGTGAAATAGATCCCCATTCCCAAGAAGTTTTGTCACTTAATTTAAATGGCTTTATTTTCCATCAGAAACATTCCAAAGTGACATCAAATAGTCATGTGAGAAGTGTCGTACCAAGCGCTGGCCATCCGGCTCACGTCCACTCTGCTGAGCTGACAACGTTGCTGCTGATAGAACTAGATGTGGAGGGGAGCACCGATGCTCGACTCCATGCTGCCCGGCCGAGGGCAATCAGCGCCCCGCACAGATTACCAGCCGTATCGCCGAGGGTAATAGATGAAGTGAGAGGCAATAGAGAGGACAGATAAAGTGCACAGTTTTCTATCACTAACGTCTGCCTGAAGCCAGCACATGCTACTGTAAAATTTAAGTAGCTTATCAGAATATACTGATAAGCAACTTAACTTTTCACTTCTATGACAGTATTATCACTTACGTTAATATGTTTCAATCAGCTCTGGCAGCTGCATATTGACTATTACAGAGCAAATGATGGCTGCTACTTTACACAGCATTCACTTTGGCAGAGCAATGGAAACATTCAAGAGGGATTAGAGAGGAGATAAATTTCTCCCTTCCTATTCTGTTAAATAAACCTCAGCTGAGTTAAAAGCCATTCTAGTAGGAACAATAAATCCTCTCAGAAGAAAACTCTTGCCTAGATTAGAGGACTCTTCATAAACAAATTCAACCAAGAGTTACAAATATTTTTTTTCCTGAAAGGAAAAAAACAACACTAGTTAAATCTAGGAACTGAAAATCAGGAGGGGTAGGGGATAATAAAAAGCAAGGAGAGAAAGTACTTCCTCGCAAGGAAACTGTGGCCTCAAGTATATAAGGGGAAAGCTGAACTCCTTTTAGGAATATGTGATGAAGTGACCCGGGGCAGGCTGGATTCTCTGATAATTTAGGACTCGGTACATGAGGAAACACTTCTGGCCACTGGGTTCAACTGACCAACGTAACTAGGCCTGGACCTCCAGCTCCCTGCCTGCCGCCCGACCAGGATGAAGAAGATGTGGTAGAGCCGCTTGGCCCTGGCAGAGTGCTCAGGTTCTCACACTCGGTCTCTCTCAGCCTCACCAAATCGATTCTTTTTGGCTACGCTAAGCAGAGCCCTCAGCCACGGGAGGTTTCGTAGTTACCCTGGAAATCAGCCATTTCTCTCTCCCTTTGGCCTGACCGGACACAACTGTTCTCCACATGTTGTCCCCTGTGCACTGACAGATGAATATCTAGTGATGGCAGTGTTAAGGTCTTGAAACCAAAACCCAGCTGTCTTCTTCTTCAAAGGATCCCTCTTTTCCCCTGTTGGGAGGCCAGGGTTCACAGCTGAACTTTATCCAGCGCTGTTTCCTGTACCGCTTCATTAGTGCTGGCACAACAGCTCTGCGCTGCCTGCGAGCTTGCAGGTGAGGATGTGGAGACCCTCCACTCCATTTTGTGCCTGTCTGTCATCATGGAGTAAACACGACTTCCCAATCCCGAGACAGGAAACAAACACCCCAGCATGCTGCTCCTCCTTGAATATCTACAGGAGCTCCGAACGTCTCTGGACCTGCTCCACATGTCACCTTTAAGCGACTGCTCAAGTCCTCCCCAAAGGGCATCCCTGTGTGGTGGGCTCAGACCAAGGCTGGGGCCCAAAAGACAGCTTCAAAGAGTCCCTGTACTCAGGTAGGATATGGTTCTTGTAGGGAAGAGAGGGACATATGCAGTAAAGTGCAATAGTTTGCATCCAGAGGAGGAGCTGGGCCGCTTTCCCAGCGATTGCATTTAGTTTGGACTTTTGCTCCGTTACAGACTTACAATGGAGCATCATCATGACCCAGTCAGCAGAGCCCTGGTGGGGGAAAAGCCTGTATCCTCGGCCCTGGCCCGGATCCAAGCTCCTCTCACCACACTGTACCCCAGGTAACTTGGTCCCAGGCCCTGCCCTCACTCCCAGGCCCGTCAGTCAAACGCAGAGGCTTTTGTCTGTGTGAGGCAATACAAAGTCTTAAACCTGAGAAGAGCTCGGACAGCACCTGCCATATTCCTACACGCACAGCCTGCCGAAACGGCCACCATAGGCCCCTCCTTCTAAGATGTGCAGGGGCATGTTGTGGAGATAGTGCATGGATTCAAATGGTTCACAGTCAAAATCACCTGTGAGAAGCCCTTAAATTGCCTCCAACATACAGCAGACATGGTTTGTGTAGACACAAAGTAGTTGGCCTGGATATGTTCAAATCTGTCAGCGTGGTGAGTGAGCGGCTTCCTCTTACGCTGACTCAGGAACTGAGTCCAACTGAGGACAGACAAGTCACTTTTCTAACCTTGTCCTACTGAATGGATTGTCAGGGTAATCATCCCACTGTCGTGTGACCACATACGTGACTGACCTTGTACGATCACATTCCACTTCAGTGTCATGAGCACTAAAGCAGAAAACGGTTACAAATGATAAAAAGCTCTCTCACTGTTCTTTGCTAATACTTCAGTTCACAGCAAAGTACGTGTGTGTGTGACGAGGGGACACTGAGGGCAGAGGCTGATCAGTTAAGGGAGGTGGTCACCTGGGAGCACCAGGAGCTGGGAGCAGGACGCTAGAGCTCCAGCACAGACAAAGGACATCCTCTTGGAGGGGCAGCCTGGAGCCCAAGCGGGGCGAGGAGGACTCCCCGGTAAGATAAAGTGAAGAGTTTAAGCAAGGTAAGGAGGGTGTCCACCAGCGGGTGGCCTGGCTTGGAGTGTCAGAACACAAGAGGGTGTTTGAGTTGGGGAAAGGTCTGTCTTGGGATAAAGAAAGCACCTATATAGGGAGAAAGAGGCCGACTCGATTGGTGTTGGAACCCAAAAGGAGCAACAAGAGCATCCGGAAGGCAGTCCTGCCGGTGTCGGGGCCCACACAGGCCGGAGGGCTTCCACGACGGGCGGCCACGCAGAGTCCCGGCAGCCGCAACGGATATCTGTGGCAGGGGCAGGCGGCTGCATGTACATACATGAATGGAGAGGGGCCCAAGTGTCACAGGGAGGCTCTGGATGAAAATTAATACTAATTTCCTGATTTCGATTATTGTAATATAGTTACATAAAACGATGTTCTTTTTTTAAATTGCACACTAAAATTTGGAGGCTACTGGACATTATCTTGGCAACACTTCCCACGTAGGGTGTTTATATTTACTTGCAACTTTTCAGGAAGTTTGTTATTGTTTCAAAAGTAAGGTAAAATGGAAAAGAATGTAAAGGGTCTCTTCTTCCACAAAAACACCATAAAGTAGACCAACTAGCATTACACAGAATGACATGAGTTGGAAAAATAAAAATTTTGAAACCATGACTATTGGGAGGGGCATGCAACGGACAGAACAGTCAGAGGTAGCCGTGGGAGTCAACACTCATTCACACAGAGAAGGCTGTGTTCAAAGAGAGCGTTCTCAGTGCACGGGAGAAAGGCTGGAAGGGGTGGAGGTGAAGAGTGTTTAGATGCAGAAAACACTCGTGAGCAACTGGAGCCGCCAGAGAGCAGGGCGTGCAGGCTGGAGGGCAGGAGATGAGGGGCTGTGGCGGAGGGTGAGTGGGGCAAAAGGGCCAGAATCTGGAGGGCTGCTCACAGGTCAAACTGAGGGGCGCCCCCTTTATTCGGTAACCACTGGGGAGCTTCGGGGACAGTTAAAAAGGAATCGCATTCTGAGCATGAGTTTTTAGAACCAGGAAGGTGACTATTTCCCTCTCGTCTGAACCGTCAGCACAGCCCCATGGAACGGGGCCTTTTGCTTTTCCTGGTGACTTTCTGCCATCTGAGACCTTTTCTTAAACTCCAACTTGGGTG